TCAGAGCGGCACTAGGTAACCAAAACACTGAGCCACTACAGAGGCTCGACAGCCTGTTCAGGATGCTGGCACAAGCCTCAAATGGCAAACATCATGGGGAGATGCTGGACAGCTGGCCGGCAACGATAGGGAGCTACACCATTTTTCCTTTCTTGATTGTTGGGAGGGCAGTCAATCTACAGAAGCTGAAGTTCATGAGCAGTGTTAGGTGAGGAGAGAAAGGTGTCAATATTTTGTATGGTGTGATCTAATTTAAGAAATATTAGCTGTCATCAATAGCATGAGTAACAAAAGACAAAAATTGGTAAATTGGGCTTCATCAAAATTAAAAATGTTGCATCAAAGACTTTATCAGCAAAGTGAACAGACAACCTATAGAATGAGAGAAAATATTAGGGAACCATGTATGTGATAAGGGTTTAATACCTGGAATAGATAAAGGACTCCTAAAACTCAACAACAAAAAGACAGACAACAGGTAAACAGACAGTTCACCAAAGAAGATATATATACAAACAGCCAATAAACACATGAGAAGATGCTCAAAATCAGTTACTGCTGAGCTGATTTCTGACTTGCAAATCAAAACCACAGTGTAGGAATAACTTCCAATATAGGAATCAGCACAAAGCCAATTCCTATGAGGTCAAGTATATCCCAGATTGCCATTCTCCAGCTGCTGTATCTGTCCATCTCTCACACTGGCCACTCGCCTTCCCCTCAGCACTCCTCCTTTCCCCATTTGGGTTTGGCAATTCAGCAGTTTCTTACAAAACTCACGAACTGCACATACAGTTCAGTGGTTTATTAAGGAAGTGTTTGGGTTTCCTCGTGCTGCTCTAACAGAAAACACTACAAATGGATGGCTTTGACAAACAGAGATTCATTCTCTTACAATATAGGAGGCTAGAAGTCCAAATTCAAGGCATCAGCTTTAGGGGCTGGGTGAAGGCCCCTCTACCTTGGGTTTCAGCTCTGCCTCTTGCTCCTGGCCCATTGGTGCTGAAGACGTCTCTTAACTCAGGCAGATGCTGGCTGCTGAGGCCAACAAACCCAAGGTTGACAAGTAAAATGGCATAGTCTCAAG